ATGAAGGGAGGAAAATGGAGGCAGTTAATCCACAGGGTGCTGGAAATGCCTTGGACATTGAGATCTACTTCCTGTGCTTCATGAAGGTGTGCCTGCCCTCAGAAAGGAGCTGTGTGGAGGGCTGCTTCAACAGCCACAAGCTTCTAGACTGAGAATCCCAGAAAAGGTCACCCATCCTGCCCCATAGAAGGAGGGGTTTGTCACTGACCACTGGCCCTGAGAGGCTGATGGGAAAGGAAGTCTTGTTTTCAGGTTGCAGTGGAGATTTGGCATTAGAAATAGACTCCACCAAGTGTTTTTTGGGGGAATATAGTGTGACTATTGGGAGTTTTAGTTTTGAGATGCTTAGTTTTGTTAATGTGTTTACGTGAAAGACCACTGTATGTTGTTTTTGTAAAAAAAATAGAAATGAATGTAGATGAGCTGTGTCCTGGTGCTGTAACCTTAGGGACCTGCAGCATGCGTACATTATACAGTACATACAGAACTAAGATTAAATACAAACTGAAATGTTGATAATTTCAAAGTTCCGCCGTTTCTTATCTGGATAGTCATTAAAAATAAGGATACAGTATGTAACACATTATCCATAATTCATTTTCATATTAAATTATGTTTTAACTGTGTGGCTCATAAAGATCACAATTTTGTTTGGTTTATCCTACTTATATTATCATCATTATATTCTGCTGCTTAGAGTTTTTATCAAAGAAATCTATGTGGTCAAACATTTTACAAAGGACATATGAGGTTTTTAATAAAAATAATAATCTTTACACTTACTATTGTGCTTTTCTGGACACTCCACTCAAAGCGCTTTACAGGTAATGGGGACTCCCCTACACCACCACCAATGTGCAGCCCCACCTGGATGATGCCACAGCAGCCATAGTGCGCCTGAACACTCACCACACATCAGCTATCAGTGGGGAGGAGAGCAGAGTAATTAAGCCAATTCATAGATGGGGTTTATTAGGAGGCCATGACAGGTAAGGGCCAGGGGGAAATTTGGCCACGATGCTGGGGTAACACCCCTACTCTTTTCGAGAGCCCTTGAATTTTAAATTACCATGGAGAGTCAGGATCCCCGTTTTATGTTTCATCTGAAAGATAGTAACTTATTTTTTACAGTATAGTGTCCTCATCACTATACTGGGGTATTATGACTCACAGAGACCATAGGATGAGTGCTCCCTACTGGCCTACTAGTGTACAACTGGTAACATACAGACATAGCTTCTGGCAAAAAATGAAAAAATAGCATTTATATTTGTGCAATGAAATGTGAATACTATGGAATAGAAAGCTATTATTAAATGTTAAAAGCAAGAACCCATTTGCTGTTTTTGCAGTTGCTGTAAAGATTTGTCCATATACTGTAACAAGGATAGACATATGGGTGTATCTGTTTATCTGGAAGATCACATTTCAATCAAGTGTTTAAGTACAATATATTAATAAATTATACATTATTAAGGTTTTTACTTTAGTAACTTAACAAATGGTTCAGACTTAAAAACTTGCAGTGATTTGCTTTTTTCAGTTTCTCTAATAAACTCTTAAATCTAATGTATTTCTGCCTTAAACTTTTTTTCCCCAAGATAAAGCTAAAATGCACCTTTGGATTGCAACAATACAACAGTTTTATTAAGCCATGACATTTTCAGATATGTCATATTTTATATAGGTGTTATATAGTAAAGTTGTACTATATTTGTAATCTAATTATAACATTTGATTTTATTGTTATTCTGCATTTTCTTTGAAAATATGCCAAATAACAGAATTATCCTTTCCTATCAGAACAGTTTTAACCAGTCAGATGGTTTCAACAATTAAGAATTATAAAGTTGTCTACAGCCAATAAAATTCAAGAAATTGTCTGTACTTTATAACCTGGCCCTAACCATATGTAGACATTC